ATAAGAAAACGGCCCAAAGGAAAATAACGTCCACGTTATAGTCATGCGAGGACAAGTTATAAAAAAAATGTGCTGTGCTAACGATGGACCTAACCTTACCGGTTTCTCTGCGAATGAACAAACAAATTTTATAAAAAAAAAACCAACCTTTATGCAATGGGTTCTAAATCTATTTCGTATAAGCTTACAACGTGGGTAATATCAATGTGTTATGACGTGGCTTGGTAAAACGTTTGTATTAAAAAAAAAAAAAAACGTTTCTTCGTTCTCTCTCCAAATTCGATCTCGATGACTAAATATATATATATATATATTTTACACTCAAACAAATCCTGTTATATTATAATAATTTAAAAGCACGATCGCGCTCACCAGGGCCCGGCTTACCATAATCTGTATAAACGCTATAGTACCGTAGTGAAATGTCGTTAAACGAAAATATCGGATAAAACATCATCGAATACTATTAAAAAAAATTGGCGGTGCCCAAATATATATATATATATATATATATCATATTTATCTTTTTTTTTCTCCCCATAACAGACGACCTAGTCGAGTCGATGACGAAGAATAAATTAATCGAGTTTTAACGACGGGACGCGATGGATTTGAATAATCGTTTAGGATGGGTTTTCGGTCATAATGTGTTTGGCGCCCGCACGATGCACTCGAATTTCAGATCTAACGGTTGTTGTATCGGTTATACGTCGGTGGTAACTTGATCCGTGCAAGGTCATTCCGTTTAACGGCGAAGCCGCGAGACGAGACAGCTTAGATAGCAGAGCTTTTTTTTTTTCTGCGATAAGAACAAGCCATCAAGTTGATTGGGACACGGGCAAAAGGGTACCGACGCGAACCGGGCCAAAACCCGGGGCAATCAATTTGTTTTTACACCGGGAAAACCTGGCCGATCGGAAAACACAAAAACCCGGGACAGGATAAACACCGTAGGGGAGTGGGGAAAAAAATAGGGAAAGAAACGGGAGAGATGACTGGACTCGGGCAAAGCAACACAGACACAGCACTCTGGTGGGCGTGGCTTGGACGCACACCAAACACGATGTAGATGGATGATGGGGGCTTCAGTGCGTTTGTGCTCGGCCACTATATATATTTATACATGACTTATCAACTAAACTATATATACCTATATATAAACACACACACACACACACACCCCTACCGGTTTATCCTGCGACGGCCTTTGGACAGTCTTTGGCAACAAATTTACCGTCCGTCGTTGCCCTTATACACAGCGCGCACACACAGCTGCCCCCATGATAATAATATACCCTCCGCCCCTCGGATTGCGCCTCGTCTGTATCGATAAAAAGCCAATCCCTTTTGGCCGACAACAATTTATCAGAACTGCCTTTTCTATATATAATATTATTCTATACACTACACCGACAAATGCCGTTTTGTTTATCGCCGGTAACCCGTAATAGTTATTTATGTGTACACATATAATTATATACATACATACAACGTGTACGTAGCTGTAGAATGATGTGTTTTTTTTTCCACTAAAAATACATACACATACATGTATTATATATCTACTATGCATTATGATCTCAGTATAAGCTGTACACAATGGACGCTACTAGACGGTATTATCCGACGTCGGTAGACGCTTTATTTGCATAACAACGATATGATAAATGGTCCATCGCAATGGCGCGAATGGTAAATCAATTTTCTTATATTTGTATTGTTATTATGGTATCAATTGTATATAAGTAGCGAGCAATCAGAGCTTCAGGCTGGAAAAATTAAGGATTATGGACGACACGGGGAGTGGATGGAGTAATGATGATTGACTTCATTTTTTATACGGGATAAAACGAAAAAGAACTTACTTATATTAGACAAATCTATTAAATTCCCTTTAAAAGTTTAAATTTATTAAAATTGGTTGTACTAAGAAGAAAAAAACTAACGCATACGGTTTTTCTTATTTGTGAAATTTTAAATTTCAATTCACACGACTTGAATTTACTGGTAAAGGGAACCTCTATAAACGAATATTTTATTTTATTATAAGTCCTATATTATAATTCTATAGATTTCAATAGTCTTCCTTGGTGTTTTATATGATGATTGATATCGGGCCACACGATACAAAAAAAAAAAAATTATAATTATAGTAATTTTGTATTCATAATCTCATTTGAGAGTATAAGTTCAAGTTTTAAATTCATGATTGTTGTTAAAAGTATTAAAAATACCACTGACGTTCATAAATAAATATCACAACCTTCAAGTAAACTCATAATTAATTTAAAAAAATAAAAGCGAGGAAGAAAAAGCTATAAATATCGAAATAACTTTATAAAAACAAAAATTATAAATATTCTAATGATATCAAAGAAACGCGAACGAATCCAGACTTTTTTTGTCCTCCTGATTTTTCAATTGTATTTTTTTTTTTTATTAACAAGAATTACAAAACAAAGAATATTTTATAGTTAGCATGTTTTATTTTCAAACTTAAAGAGGACAAATAATTCTAAAGAATAACACTTTACGGGGACCAACTATTCTCTTCAAGCTTTCTATATATGAGTTGCTGCTTAAGTATCTATAAAACGTTTCCCTTTTGCCTTAATTTATGTTTTTTAATTGAAAAAAAAATCTATTACAACAAGTCATTTTGAATTATAAAAAAGATTATTGTCTAAGATGTTTTAGATTGATTTTATAGCATGGCTAAGATACCAAATTATTTATGTGCAGATTTCAGAACAATATTCATTTTAATCGTTCATTTGTATAACAAAATTAAGTATAATGTGATGCAATATCATAATTATTATTATGGTCATGTTGTACGAATAAACATATTCTATTGTTTGATCAAAACCTCAGACGGCATTTCATTTTTTAATATGTTTAATTTCAGTAAAATATTACTTAATGAAACGGCCGACTTAAAGGAAATATTTCCCAGTATTCTCATTTATTATGAACTAATATATTACTGTTATTACAGTAACAAAAAAAAATCAGAGGCGTTAAATTTGAACAATAAGAAGTTTCTTTGGGAAATTAATTTAATGAATCAGTAGAATAGAACGTTTTGTTTCAGTTGGCAATCAAATCGCCAAAGACGTTTAGCTTCCGGTAATGTATAAAATGTATTTTTGTTTCTTTAGAAAAGCACAATAGTATATATGGAAAAACTGTATAAATTGTGGGAAAAAAATACAATTTTACGACCAAGGTATGCGCAAAAAAACACTGTTGACACAAGAAATTGCAAAACTGTAAACCATAAATTGTTTTTAAATTTGCAATATTATTAGTAGGTGTGTTTAGCGGTATAGAAATAATATACCGGGTGATTATTTTAATACACTATTTTACTTTTAAAATAATTTAATTTTTTTTTTATTTGAAAACATCTTGATTTATGTTTCAATACAATATTGGACAATATTAAATTTCAAAAGTTGATAAAGTTCTAGCAAATAAATCAAATGTTTAAACTTGTCTAATATTAAAGCGTAAACAAAAATGTTTTAAAACAAAAAAAACTACAAAATTTCAATTATTTTAAGAGAAATCTTGTGTTTAATGTCCATTTGAAACGCTTTAGTTATATTAAATAATGTAATATTATGATGATTGGTGACGAAATTCAACTTCCAATGTGGATTTCACAAAGTAATCCTATAAGTTTTTACCGAATGCCGGTTTTCGCGAGATAAAAATATTAAAGAATGTGTACCTAACGTAAAGCCATACAAAACAAACAAGAGTGCATTTTCTTTCCGAGGTAGACAATTCGGTCCGATTGTTTTAGAACAAAAACTGTCGCAAGTTCTCTGGCAGAGTCAATTGGATTACCTATCAGGACAGGGACGACATAGAAAAGGTATTTTTTTTTTTTACAGTGGGTCGAAGGCAGTCTGTACAACAAAGTCATCCACAGTAATGTGTACAACGGATAAAATGTTCGGCCGTACAGAAAAGTCTTTTAATTAGCCGAAATGGTCTTTAGCCATGTCAGTTTTCGTTTAATTAGTCGCTAAAAGGGACGCCCGGGAAAACGTCAGCGGCCAGAGTTAATCCGTTTAACGTCAACCGCGGTATTGGGGACATTTATATACCATTAATGGTCTAATCGAATTACCTACTGCTACTGCTGCTGCTGTTACTACTACTATACGCGGGTCACACTTTGTTTGCAATGCACCGCAGGACGTTAACACCGAGGGACAAAATGTTTTCCAAAAGGCAACAAACACCACCGGACCGGGTATTGTATTAAAACAAAAATAGAGCGGTCGCAAAAAGCCCAGACCTATGTGTATACAATATTGCTTATTGTTTTTATTTCTTTTCACTCGGTCAAAAATAGGATTACTATTTTTTTGCCCGGGGACAACGACAGAATCCCATTGGGTGCGGCCTCTAATAAAAGAAGTGCTGTGCGGTGACCAAGTACGAAGTGACCGAAATCGAACGGTTGCCGGCTATAATACAGAATAGATATTATGTTTGTCCAGTGTAGGAGGGCAGAGGGGAGCGAAATAAAAACCCACGACCGTGTTCTAATAACGCTTTTCTAGACGATTTAATGCGAGTCTGGCCCACGCACGAATTTCGCCGTATGATGTGACCGTTGGAGACCTTAACCGGCGGGATCAGTTCGGTAAATGTTCACCGGACCGAAATGAGTGTTTTCATATACACAAGCAGCGGACATAAATGGTAGGTGGAGGGGCCGGGCGGCGTGAGAGACAGAAAGTTAGATGGAAATAGAGTTGTTTGGAATGGATCGTGTGCGTTCGGCGGTGTCGGGTCGATTGATAAAAGACAAACTTTTGGATTTTCTTGCTTTTTATTTTCTCGCTCGGCGCTTCCCCCCTTTGTCTTCTTCAGCGCGCGTGCACGACCGTAAATCCTACGCGAGCCCGGCACACGTGTGTCCGGTCAGGTGTGCGAAAGTTTGGAGGGATTCATTACAATCGTTTTGTTTTCATTTGCAGGGGCGATCTTCGAACAGGGCTCCGACGAGGTGCAGACCGCCTTCAAGTTCGCCGTGCTCAAACACAATCAGAACAACACGGCCAGGCGATTCGAACTGCAGGCTTACGTGGACGTCATTAATACGGCAGATGCTTTCAAACTATCCCGGCTAAGTGAGTATAGTGAACTAAGCGAATTAAAAAAACTTACTACCAGAAACAACCAAGTCGGGAAACGTGTCCGAGATAAGAACTCCGCACTGTCCGTTGCTAGAAATATATTAAATCGAAAGTCGTTGAACGAATCGTTCCGAAAAAGAATTCAATTCGGCCGGTTAGAGAGGTTTTAAGTGTTTGTTGGAAGTCAATTGATTGTCAATCACTTTACAAATACTAAGGGATGGACATGTTTTCAAACAGTTTGCAATTTGTATCATGATAATGTTTTTTTTAAATATTTGTCAGAAAGTAAATCAATCCAGATAAGGTCTAGGCGTCAATTATAATTTTTAATTTTCATTTAATTTTTATACAAATAGTGGTAAATTTTCCAGTAAATTTCGTTAATATTGTTAGCTATTTTTTTTTTTTTTTTTTGGCGTTTTATTCGTATATTATATTAGTATGTTGGATGTGTAAATCAAATAACACTAGTATTTACCAAATTTGTATTACATATTAAATACAATATAATATCTATCAAAAACCACGATAATTCTTTGTTATGACCGCTAATAATTAGTATGTTGTCCATCATTCGACAAGACCACTATACTCATGGCTTATTTCAAAATACAGACATTACTCTTTTTCTAAACGCCTGGTTCAATATTGACGAGTTATGTAAAACAACAAAATGCCGTTTAATCGCGTGAACCGCGTTAACAGACAATACCAGCTAATATTACCATAGAATTAGTAATACAGTTATTTGTAACGCACAACAACAAAAGGAATTTGAGCTGTTACGACGAATAAAGTGCATGATCACGAAATCACTTATTGACAATTTAGTAAGCCGGCCTATACTTTATGATCGGAACACGATTTGCCGGCACGTTGAATAATTATTGCTGTATTAAACGTTTATCCGAGCCGGGCAAATTGAAATTAATCGTCGCGCAAATTGAAACGTTTCGCGCCGTTCCATTTAAAAACATTATTTGCCAGGTCGCGCGTAAAACACTATCTGATTCGTTTTTGATTTTCTTAATAATAATAAATTATCGTTGCGGCGAATTTGCTCGGTGATTCATGAGTTGGTACCGAGTTGCATTATATGATGTTCCGTTTCCCGAATCCGTCGCCGCCCCCGCACAGCAACGTCTCTCTGACAAAAACAACAGAAATTCGAATCGCCCGTTATTATTATTATTTTTTTTTTTTTCCAAAACCCATACATAATACACCTATAAATTAAATCCTAATAGAAACGTTTTCCTAGGAAATATCATAACCATTTTTTGTAACTTGTAACCGTTTCTGCCGCAAACGTTCCGTCGGAGAATTTCAAAACAGAATTTGGTTGTCTAAAAAAGTCATTATCCGCGCACGCAAATGTTTTGCCTACGGTTACCGAACATTGTTTTTTAGTTACCGGTTCATAAAACTTTCCGGCATCCCGCCCCGTTCCTTCCCCCCCCCCCAGTGCTCCCTTCCTCCTTTGGCAACCAATATATTTTTAAAGCGCGTATTTACCATAATATTTCTCTGTTTAGCATGAACACCGTAACCTCTGGCCCCTTCGACTCCCGAAAACACCACCGTGTTACGTTAACTGCCGAGATGAAAAATATAGTTTCAAAACAGTTACCTGTGTCTATTCAAACGTTTAGGAACCGAGAAAATTGTATTCCACGCCCGGTATATATATATACGCCCTTTGGAATAATAATAATATGTAAAATAAACGTTCTTTGAAACTTATATTACTCTACCAGTATACAGTCACACACACACACACAGTGGCAAACATACTCGAAAATGTAATATCACCGTATCTGTACGCTAATGTAAAGAAATTATAAAAAAAATGTAATAACGCAGTAATAACAAGCGAATGTTAAAAAATACATGTTTTCATCACATCACATAATATATTGTGTTATTTTCCATTTTTAACGAAAGCCGTGCATGGAATGAAGATAGGTAAAATATGGAGTTCAACTTTTTCAATTGCCTATACAATTTTCATTTGAACATTTATTTCTATATACATGACTAGACAGTATTGCAATTAGTGAATTCTCGTGGGACTATGTGTTTTACTATAACATAATTTAAAAATTACAATAATATTGTTGTGTATTTAATCGATCGATTACGGTTGTTGTTATTTTTGAAGCTTTTCAATGATTGAATATTTTTTTTCTTGTAAGGAGAAACGTTTGCGGAAGTCCATTTACATACTGGAGCATGTAAGGCTACGTGATATTTGAATAAACATACGACGTATTATTTGCTGTGGGTAATGTGTTTATGGCGTGGAAGGTAACATTGTTTTTATATATTCCTCTGCGATTCAAAGCAATAGCTTTTATAATAATATACACATTGCATCCACGCGTGAGTACTAAAATGCAGCGAAAAGAACAACGACGTTTTTAGAGTAACATGATATTATTATTGTCGCATCTGCACAATAATATGTGCGTATGCCGTGCAATTTCGTTTGGTCGCGTTCTAATAGTTCTCTGTTTTACATTGTCAGGACTATAATAATTATTGCGTTAACCGTAAGTTATAGTCGAGCTTGTGACTCGGTTAATAGTTGTTTATAGACTTCTTATACACCGTTCATACCGTTTACAGAATTCTATCCGGATTTCCAATTACCATTGTACGAGCATTGTGCGCGGTGATGAATATACGGCTTTTTTTTTTTTTTTGTAATTTGTGTAGATTGTGATCTATTCGAAGGATTCTGCTGCGGTTTAACTCGGGCAAATGTTGAGCCGATGCGAAAAAAAAAAAGGAATACTTTGATATTTTTGTCGAAAACGATCACGTTGAAATTTAATACTCATCCGTTTGACAGACGTTTTTCGTCGTTTGTTATGCGTCACTCTGTAAACGAATGAGTATTTCTCCGCAGTATCATGTTTTCAAAAGCTGAGCTGATGGAAAATCGTTTTCGAATGACATATTACACTTTTAATTCCCGAAAGTTTCCGCCTAGTCCGGAGCGGTTATAAAAATAAAAAAATACAGACATTACAGAGCGGTGTTATTAGACGGCGCCGCGGTCGGTTTTAAAAAGTTACGAATTAAATTTTGGTATTTTTTTTCCCCGACTGCCGCCTCTAGTGAACAAATTAATTAGCCGGCTTAATTTCCCATAGCACGCGGTCACCCTAAACGACCTTCCGCCGTCGTCGACCACGGTGCTGTTAATATTGTTACCCGTTGATGGATTGATCGCCGCTAAATTCGGTTAGGTGGTAAAACCACGGAAATCATCATCGGCAGATATCTATGATGATGATGATGATGTCACCAAATAAATCACGCATCCTCGCCCCTATCCGTTACCACTATCGCTATCGACAAAGGTCGACGTATCGTATTTCACCCTACCGTTTGCGGGTCTGCAGTGTCGACGACAACGACAAATTGCCCGTTTAATATTATTACTTCATTGACACCGCCGCCGGTGTCATTATGGTACACACGAGCACAAAACAATATATTATTATATTATTATAATATTATGCATCGGTGACGGACCGGACGGTGTGTGTGTAATTGTTATCTGAATTACAAACATAAAACGTGATTTGAATTATTGCACTAATATGGCCGTGACCGCGGGATTACAACACATAGTAAATCACACCGTTATTATAGTCGAATAATAACGTTGAGTAAGATAAACAAAAGAATTTGCATTTGTTGCATTCGGATTTGACAGTTGCTGTTTTAGATGGCACCTATGTCAGTCGCCATGGAGACCACCGCGAATATTATTTCAACACAACTAGCGAGTGCAATTCGAATTATTTTAATTAGTCTAAAGTAAAATTATGTATCGTTGTTGGACGGACTCTTTCTACGGTGTATGGTATTATATTATCTGCAGCGGTCCTACAGTTTGTACAACGTCAACATGAAAGGGTTTTGCCTGAAAAACAATCGGTTTCGGTTACCAACAACGGGATACGGCGAGGGATCACTGCACGAGCTTCTACCGACAAGTCTACTGCTCTTTGTCTGTTTCTTCAACCATCTCATTGTCAAAAAATTTTTTTGCTTGTTCTTCAGTCCTGGATTGTTGAAACTGGCTTTCTGTTGCTCTGCCTCACGAGCTTTCACCGAATAGTCCTGTAGGACTACGGTCTCGGATTTCGGTTCGCTAACCGTCGTTGGCTTCTTAAACTACCCCGTAATCCAAAAATTTGGTATTGTAATTACTTGTTCCGTACCAACTGTTTTGTCTTTTTTCGCGGTCGACTTGGTTTTATTGGTGGTTATTCTCATCTTATCGGACTTGTCAGATTTACTGTAGTCTAATAACGACACAAGAACAATGGATTATGTTACAACGGTACACAAGGTTAAACGGTACACCATCGCCCAGCAAAGAGTGTCTTGAGAATAAAATTGACCGGCCCAAACGATTTGATAGCCAAGAAAACAGCTGCACCTGATTCCAAAGAAAAAGATCTTCGGTTAAAGCGTCAACTACCAAAACGTAAGTGTTAGATGCTTCACAAATGTTTTCTTTGTTTAAACAATATCAATTTATTTGATTACTAAATCTGGCATTGTCTCTTTTTTGCAGCCCATTAGATCGGCCCTGCCTCGGTTCTGTCACACGACCTTCCACCGTCCGCAAAGGAACGCAGGTCGTCCATCAGGACCGTCGAAAAACCTGTTGGACTAAGTTATCGGATTTTTGCTAGCCAATAAAAACTAACGGTTTCGTTATTAGGTTGCAGTAAACCAGACAAGTCTGATAAGATAAACCCATTAATAAAATAAAGCCGACCACAAGAAAGGGTACAACAGTTAACACGGAACAAGTGGTGACAATACCAAATGTTTGGAAAGCGAGGTGGTTCAAGAAACCATCAATGGCTAGCGCACAGAAATCGTAAGTGTCCGTAATCCTACAGGACTTTTCGATGAAAGCTCGTACGTTAGAACAGCAGCAAGCCAGTTTCGACAATCCAGAG